CCTTTCAGACTAGGAATAAAGCAAAGATGTTCCACTCTTGCCATTTTTTTTTAATGTATTTGACAGGTAGAGATCAGAAGTAGGCAGAGAGAGAGAGGTAGAAGCAGGCTCCCTGCTGAGCAGAAAGCCCAACGCGGGGCTCGATCCCAGGACCCTGCCGAGGCTTTAACCCACTGAGCCACCCAGGTGCCCCCTCTTGCCACTTTTTTATTGGAAGATTCGGCCAGAGTAATGAGGCAAGTAAAAGAACTAAATGCATCCAAATCAGAAAGAAAGAAGCAAAATTGTCTTTATTTGCAGATGATATGATAGTATATAGAGAAAATCTTAGAGCTTCCACCAAAAAGCTATTATTAGAACTGATAAACTAATTCAGTAATTGTAGGAGACAAAATCAACACCAAAAATCACTTGCTCTTCTATACACCAACAACACATTACCCAAAGGAAGAATAAATTATAGGGGTTCCTGGGAGGCTTAATTGGCTAGACATCTGCCTTTGACTCAGGACATGATCTCAGGGTCCTGGGATTGATCCCATGTTGGGTTCCCTGCTCAGCCGGCAGCCTGGTTCTCCCGCTCCCTCTGCCCCTCCCCCCAACTCATGCTCTTTCTCTCTCTCTCTCAAATAAATAAGTAAAGCCTTTTTAAAAAAAAGGAAGAAGAAATCATAAAAACACTTTGATTTATAATAGCATCAAAAGAATAAAAAACTTAAACATAGATTTAGCCAAGGAGGTGAAAGATCTGTGCATGGTGTGTTGTAAGACTTTGATGAAAAAAAATAAAGCGTACACAAATGGAAAGATATTCTGTGTTTGTGGCTGAAAAATTAATATTGTTGAAGTGTTCATACTATGCAAAGCAGTCTACAGATTCAGTGCATCCTATCAGCATTCCAACAGCATTTTCCACAGAAATTTTTTTTAAAGTCGTAAAATTTGTATGGAGCCACAAGTAGCCAAAGCAATCTTGAGAAGACACAGAGCTGGAGGCATCACGCTTACTGATTTCAAGCTATGTTACAAAGCTATACCTATCATAACAGTAGAGTATTGGCATAAAAACAGCCACATGAATAAATGGAGCGGAAAAAGGAACGCAGAAATAAACCCACGTATATATAGTCAGTATTTTTTTTTTTAACAAAGGAGCCAAGAATATACAATGGGGAAGGAATTGTCCCCTTGATAATGGTTTTGGGAAAACTGGACAACCACATGAAAAGAATGAAACTGGACGCTGATTTTTACACAACACACAAAAAAATCAATTCAAAATGGATTAAAGACTTGACTAGTTAAGACCTGAAGCCATAAAACTTCTAGAAGAAAATATAGAAGGTAATCTTTTTGATGTTAGTCATAGTAATGATTTTTTGCATCAGACAATGAAAGCCAAAATTAACAGGTGTGACTATATCAAACTGAAAAGCTCCTATACAGCAAATGAAACATTCAGCAAAATGAGAAGGCAACCTTCAGAGGGAGAAGTATTCACAAACCACATAACCAATAAGGGGTCAATTTCTAAAATATTCAAGGAACTAATACAACTCCCTAGCAAAAAAACCAACCCAATTTAAAAATGGACAAAGGGCATAAATAGACATTCTTACAAAGAAGACATACAAATGGCCAGTGAGTACAAGAAAAGGTGCTCAACATCACTAACCCTCAGAGAAGTGAAAATCAAAATCATGAAATACTGCCCATATCTGTTAGGATGTTTATTATCAAAAAGACAAGAGATAAATGCTGCTAAGACTGTGGAGAAAAGAAACACTTGCAAAGTGGTGGTGAAAATGTAAACAGGTATATCCACTGCAGTATGGAGGTTCCTCAAGAAATTCACAAAAGAACTACCATATAATCAAGCAGCCTCAATTCTGGGAATATAGCCAAAGGAAATACAACCATTGTCTTGAAGAAACATATGCTCTCCCACGTTTATTATAGCATTATTCACAATAGCCAAGGTTTGAAAACAACTTGAGGCATGTAGACAAAAGAATGGATAAAGAATATTACATATATGAATATAATTCACCCTAAAAAATAGGAAGTCCTGCCCTTTGCAACAACATGGAGGGCATTATGCTAAATGAAATAAGCCAGAAAAAGAAATACTGAATGCTGTCACCTACATGTGATATCTAAAACGAAGAAATAAAAAAACAAAACCCTTGAAGTTATAGAAACAGAGAGTAGAAACTTGGTTGGCAGGGGCTCAAAAGTTAGGGGAAATAGGGAGAGATTAGTAAAGGGTACAGATTTTCAGTTATTAGATGAATAAGTTCTGAGAATCAGATGTATAGCATGGTGACTAAGTTGGTAACACTGTATCGAATAATTGAAATTTGCTAAAAGGGTAGGACTTAAATATCCTCACATAAAAAAGGAAATACATGAGGTGATGGATGTGTCCATTAACTTGATGGTTGGAATCCTTCCCCAATGTACATGTATATCAAATCATCATGTTGTACACTTTCTTTATTTTTAAAGATTTCACTTATTTATTTGAGACAGAGAAAGGGAGAGATAGAGGGAAGGGTAGAGGGAGAAGGAGAAGCAGACACCCCTGACCAGGGGGCCCAGTGTGGGGCTCAATCTCAGGACCTTGGGGTCATGAACTGAGCCGAAAGGCAGATGCTTAACCAACTGAGCCACCCAGATACCCCTATGTTGTACACTTTAAATCTAAAATTTATCAATTATACCTCAATAAATTCGGAAGCAAAATTTTCCCTGTTATTTAGCAGAGAACTCCCTGACTATGTGAGGTTTTTAGAGTCATGATGTTTTCATGATAGGATGGGGGAAAAACCCCCAAAACCTTTCTTATTCCTTGCCCAACATATGTGACAAAGCTCTGACTTTGGAGTCTGAAGTCTGTATGAGACCACAAGTACTATGACATTATCTGACACTTATTCTTTATGGTGTTTTTTTTTTTTAATTATAAAAACACATGTTTTCCATAGAAGAGTTGAAACGGTTTTTTGTTTTTGTTTTTTTAATTAAAGAAAAGAAAATCTGAGATACCTGGGTGGCTTAGTCCGTTAAGTATCCAACTTTGATATGGGCACAGGTCATGATCTCAGGGTCATAGAGCCAAGCCCATGGTCAGGCTCCAAGATCCGTGGGGAGTTGCTTGAAATTCTCTCCCTCTCCTTCTGCTCCTCTGCCCACTCTTTCTCTCTCTCTCAAATAAATAAATAAATCTTAAGAGAGAGGAAGGAAGGAAAGGAGGGAGGGAGGGAGGGAGGGAAAGTCAATCTTACATCACCCCACCACTCAGAGAAGATTTCTATTCATATTTTGATGCAATGTCTTCCAGTCTTCATTCAGTATAATTCTTTTCTAAACATGTGACCATACCATACAAACAAAAAGTACTCTTTTTTACACATAAAAATGGTTACATACTATTACAATTACAAAAACAAATATACCATTTTTATTGAGGTATAATTTGTATACCATACGGTTTATCATTTTAAAGTGTATATTAAATAAATCTCAGGATATTTGCAAAGTTATACAACTGTTACCACAATCTAGTTTTAGAAGAGTTTCATGACCCCAAAAAGAAACCTGTACCCGTTAACAGTTATTCTCCATTGCCCCCTTCCTAGCCTTTAAAAACTACTAATCTTTGTCTTTGTGAACTGCCCTGTATATTTCATATAAACAGAATCATAGAATCATGTAAACAGAATCACTTCTTTCACGTAGCATAATTTTTCAAAGTTCATCCATCTTATAGGATATATCAATAGTTTATTCCTTTTTATGACAGAATAATATTTAATGTAAAACTATACCACATTGTGTTTATCCATTTTTGAGCTAATAGACATTGGGTTTTTACCACTTTGGGGTCACTATAAATAATGTAGCTATGAATATTCATGCACAAGTTTTTGTGTGAACATGAGTTTTCAGTTCTCCTATGAGTGGAACTGCTGAGTCATATGTTAATTTTATGTTTAACATTTTGAGGAACTGACATTTGAGAATGTTTTCCAAAGTGGGTGCCCCATTGTATGTTTCCATCAGCAATGTATGAGTGTTCCAACTTCACATCCTTGCCAATGCCTGTTGTTATCAGTCTTTTTAATTAAGGGCATCTAGTGGGTGTGAAGTGGTAAGTACCTAATTGTAATTTTGATTTACATTTCCATAAAGGCTATGATGTTGATCATCTTTTCATATGTTTCTTGGCCTTTACCTTCTTTACAGAAGTGTCTATTCAAATCCAGTGCTCATTTTTAAAGCTGCATTACTATACTTTGTTTTTGATTTATAAGTTTTACAAAATATATTCTTTATACCAGATCCTTAAATATACAAATATTTTCTCCTATTCTGGGGTCCTCTTTTAACTTTCTTGATAATGTCTTTTCTTTTTGGTACTTTTACAAGATGGAGGGCTTGAATGTCACTTTCCAACTATGTTTTTCTTGTTTCCTCTAAATCTTCACTATTGTTCTCTACTGATTGAGACTAAAGGGAGCCAGCCTGCAAAGCTGAGTTCTAGCCCCACATCACAATGCAGAGTATTGAAGGGTGGACTTGAAGTCAATAAACAACAGCTTAATAAGTGGCACACAGGAAAGTAATTCTTCTAATGGGTTTGTCAATTATATGTGGTTTTGGTTTTTTACCAGAAGAAATTTTTTTTTTCATTGAGCTTGTCTGTTAAATGGTTGTTTTCCATTTTATTGATATCAGTTCTTTGTTATTTCCAGCCTTGTAATCTCTTTGAAAATTTTTTTTTGGTAATTTCTTGAAATGTATAGATCAGTATTTTCAGGTTTTTTCATCTCTAGTATATGCATTTAAATTTAATATTGCAAAAGAAAGTTAAAATTGCCCTCTAAATATGATTTTAGCTGTATCTCACTTGTTTTGATATATTTTTTAAAGATTTTATTTATTTATTTGACAGAGAGGGAGAGAGATCACAAGTAGGCAGAGAGGCAAGCAGAGAGAGGGGGAAGCAGGCTCCCCGGTGAGCAGAGAGCCCTATGCAGGGCTTGATCCCAGAACCCTGAGATCATGACCTGAGCCAAAGGCAGAGGCTTAACCCACTGAGCCAGCCAAGTGCCCCTTGATACGTATTTTAAACTGATAAGAACAGATACTACACTTGATCTTAGCCAAAAGGCCAAGAGGTGATTGATACATATTTTAAAATTATTATTCAGTTCAAAATATTTCCTAATTTTCATTGTGATTATTTTCTTTTATCTATGAGCTATTTCCTCATGGGCTATGCATGTATTAATGCATTTCCAAATATTTGAGGTTTTTAAGTTACATTTTGCCATTAATAAGTATATAATGATGTTATATATAATTAATGTACAAAATATTATAGTATTGTATCTTCTTACATCAGGATGTAAAATATTAATTATATATATATACACACATATGGATAGATAAATAGAAATGTATAAATATATGAAATATATAGATAATTTCATATGGGCATACGTATTTGAAATTGCTGTATTTTCTTCATAGATTACAAATTGTATTATTATGAAATGTCCTATCACAAGTAACTCATCTTCTGTTAAATTTTACTTTGTCTGATATTAAAATAGGTACATCAGTCTATCTTGGTTAGTACTTATATATTGTATCATTTTCCAAATATTTACTTTTAACTTTTCTTTATATATGTTTGTCTATAGTAATCTTCATGTAGCAAGTGTTGGTGTTTATTAATCCTGTCTGTCAATTATTGTCTTTTTTTTTAAAGATTTTATTTATTTATTTGACAGACAAGGGATCACAAGTAGGCAGAGAGACAGGCAGAGAGAGGGAGGGGGAAGCAGGCTCCCTGCTGAGCAGAGAGCCGGATACAGGGCTTGATCCCAGGACCCTGAGATCATGACCTGAGCCAAAGGCAGAAGCTTAACCCATTGAGCCACCCAGGTGCCCCAATTATTGTCTTTTTAAATGAATAATTTGGTCAATTTACATTTAAATAGTTATCATATTTGGTTTTAAATCTACCATCTTACTATATTTCTCTATTTTTTCACCGGCTTTGTTTATTTTTCTCTCTTTCCGTCTTCTGGATTCTTTTTTCAATGTTCAATTTCCCTCCTCTATTAGCTTTTAATATTGATTTTAGTAGTTACCCGGAGATCATAACAAACATCTTTGAGTTATTTAAGTTATATATGAATTAGAACTTTTTAACATATGCTGGACAACACAGGATTTGAGAATCTCTTAATTCCATTCAGTATATCTTGCCTTTTATGTTATTATTTTGTTAATCCCAAATTATTATTATTACTGTTTTCAGAGTCAATATTTATTTACATGTACTCATGTTGTTATTTATTCTTTTTTTTATTACTTTAGTTCCTCTATGATCATTTTTTTCTTTGCCTTAAAGTCTCCATTTGGTATTTCTGTAACTATGAGTCTGTAGCTAATGAATTCTCTCAAGATTGGTTTACTCCAAACAGTTTTTATTTCCCTTCTTATGTGAAGGGTTTGTTCACGAGGTATATAATTCTAGCTTGCCAATTATTTTATTTTAGCATCATTAAGATATGAAGATGTCTTTTGGATTCTAAGTTTGCCATTGAGAAGTCAGCTTTTGGTCTAATTTTGCTCTGATAATGCCAATACCTTTTTTGTAGTTGTTGTTCTGGATTCTTTTGAGATTTCTCTTTTTCCTTATCTGATTTTCAGCACTTTCAATATGACATGTCCAATTTTCTTTTTTCTTTTTTTATTTTTTTACTTATCCTGCATGAATTCCTAGTGTTTCTTGAATGTCTCACTTGATCTTTTTCATTAGTGGGAATTTCTCACCCACTATCTTTTAAAATATTGACTCCTCGGGGCGCCTGGGTGGCTCAGTGGGTTAAAGCCTCTGCCTTCAGCTCAGGTCATGATCCCAGGGTCCTGGGATGGAGCCCTGCATCAGGCTCTCTGCTCAGCAGGGAGCCTGCTTCCCTTCCTCTCTCTCTGGCTGCCTCTCTGCCTACCTGTGATCTCTGTCTGTCAAATAAATAAATAAAATCTTTAAAAAAAAATATTGACTCCTCTTCATTCTCATTTTCCTCTCATTCTGTGGTTCTATTAAGATTTACATTAGGTCTATTCATGTTTCACTTTTATGTTCTCTTTTCTGTATTATCCATTCTTGGTCTCTGTGTTTTATTTTGGAGATTTCTTCTGATTTATCTTTAGCTCAATGGTTTCTCTTTAGCTCTTTTTACTCTCAAGTTAAATTCATTAATTGTTTTTAATTTCATCATTTGTCTTTTCCTATTCTAGAATTTCTATTTAATTTCCATTTCTTAGTTGGAATCTTCAACATTGTCTGTCAATTTCTTGAACATATTACTCACAGTTTCTTTGTTGTTGTTGTTTTGGTCCAATAAGTTCATTTTCTTGATCTCCTATGGAACTGTTTTGTCTACTTGCCTGTTTTGTCCCTTCCTTTCTTGGAAATACCCTTTTCTGTCTATGTGTTTGATTTGATGCTGGATATTGTATATTAAAAATTAACAAGTTAAGAGTGTAGAAGATGTCATTTTAATTGAAATAGGATTTAGTTTTGCTTCTGGTCAACAGCTAAGCTGAGAGAAGGAACAATTCCAGATTGCCTTTCTCAAATGAGGAACAAAAATATTAAGGACTTTAGTCTTGTGATTTTGACTATTTCAGGTACATTTTTTTACTCACAGGTCAGGTTTTTTAGGGTCCCAGCTGAAAACAAGAGATGTTTATTAAGGTCCTTCATTTTTTTGTGATCCTTAAATTTCAGTTTTTATCTCCTTGCTTCATGAGTCAAACTTCTCTCATCTTATCAGCTTTTCAGTTGTTTTTCAATAAGTGACTGCTTTGAGGGAGAAGCTCCCCCATGTGACAGGATCATCTCTAGGCTTCTTTTTCTTGCTGATCATGACGTCATAGTTCCCTACACACAACTTCAGTAGCTATCCCATGCATTCAAAACAGAAACTTTGGTTAAAACAGCATTTTGAGCTAAACTGTGGAAGGAGCTGAGATGCCCTTCAACAGATGAATGGATAAAGAAGATGTGGTCCATATATACAATTGAATATTACTCAGCCATCAGAAAGGATAGATACCCACTGTTTGCATCAACATGGATGCAACTGGATTGAACTGGAGGGGATTATGCTAAGTAAAGTAAGTCAAACAGAGAAAGACAATTATCATATGGTTTCATTCATATGTGGAACATAAGCAATAACACGAGTATCAAAGGAGAAGAGAGGGAAATCTGAAGGGGGAGAAACTGGAGAGGAAGCATGAGAGACTACGGATGCTGGGAAACAAACTGAGGATTTCAGAGGAGAGGGGGAAGAAAGGAGGAGGTAACAAGGTGATGGGTATTAAGGAGGTCACATGTTGTGATGAGCCCTGAGTGTTTCACGTAAGTAATGAATCACTGAACACTACATTAAAAACTAATGCTATACTATGCAGCAGTTAACCAAACATAATTAAAAAAAAGAAAGAAAGAAAACCCCCAGCGTTTTGACCTAGCAGTTCACAGCAGAACTGGTTTGAGCTACTTAATATATCATTACTAATACTAGAACAACTCCCTGCAAATTTTAAGTTTATATGGCTAATTTAATAATTTTATCCCTTAATTGCTTCTGAATTCTGATTCATGTTTAGAGTGACCCTTCCCATTTTGAAGTTATTAGAAGTTTGTGTTTTGTTATAGTACTTCTACGGTTTCAGTCTTTACATTGAAAATTTTGATCTATTTGGACTTTATTTTGATCTGCTGATCAAAATATATATACAACTTTTATTTTTGATGCCCACCTCTTTATCTGTTCTCATTTACTTGACAGTCTATCTTTTTTCATAGACTTGAAATTTTACATTTTTATATACTAAATTCACCTGTGAATCTGAACCTGTGGGCTTTCTGTTTTTCTATTGCTTATTTGTATATCTCTATTCATGTGTCTTCCTTGTTTTTTAATAATTTTATTTATGATTATCATTCAATACTCTGCATGCCTGTAAAGTGTATATTTTGGTCTGTTATAACATTTGTATACACTAGTGAAACCATCACTACAATCAAAATAATGAACAAAATTTTTCTTTTTGTCCTATTTTAATCTAGCACAAACTGACCCCATTTGCTGTAACCAAGCAACAAAGTGATTGGCTTTCTGTCTTTATAATTTACAGTTCCTAGAATTTTGAAAAATGGAATTCTACAGACTGTATTCATTTTGTCTTTTATTCAGTGTAGTTATTTTCAGACTCATCTATGTTAACTTTATCATAAAGTTATTGTAAAGTAATAGTATTCTATATTTTGAATATACAACTTGTTTATGAAGTCACCTATTGTTGGACATTTGGGTTAATTCCAGTTTTTGTTAAATTTTGATTCCACTGTAGTTGACATACAGTGTTATATTAGTTTCAGGTGTACAATACAGTGATTCAGTAATTATATATATTTCTCAGTGCTCATCATGGTAAGTGTACTGTTAATCCCCTTCATGTAATTCACCCGTCCTTTCACTCACCTCCCTTCTGGTAACCATCAGTTTATTCTTCGTAGTTAAGTGTCTGTCTCTTTTTTCTTTGTACATTTTTTTTTGTTTCTTAAATTCCACATAAGTGAAATCATACTACATTTGTCTTTTTTCTGACTGACTGACTTCACTTAGCATTATACTCTCTAGATCCATTCATGTTGTTGCAGATAGGAAGATCTCCTTCTTTTTTATGACTGAGTGAAGTTCCATTGTATTTACATACTATTACTTTATCCATTTATCAATGGACACTTGGGCTGTTTTCATAATTTGGCAATTGTAAATAATGCTGTAACAAATATAGGTGTGCATATACATTTTTGAATTAATGTTTCAATTTTCTTGGGGTAAACACCCTGTAGTAGAATTTACTGGATCATATGGTAGTTCTATTTTTAATTTTTTGAGGAACCTCCATACTGTGTTCCACAGTGGCTGCAGCATCCTACCAACAGTGAATGAGGGGTTTTTTTTTCCTCATCCTCACCAACATTTGCTTTTTCTTGTGTTTTTGAAATTAGCCATTCTGGGGCACCTGGGTGGCTCAGTGGATTAAAGCCTCTGCCTTCAGCTCAGGTCATGATCCCAGGGTTCTGGG